TTGTTTTGTTCCTGATTTTAGTGTAATTACTTTGACTTTTTCTCTATTTAATTTGATGTTAGTTATAGGTTTGGTGTAAATTGCCCTTATTATGTTTAGGTATGTCCCTAATCTCTTCAAATATTTTTATGATCCAGTGTTGGATTTTGTTAAAGGCTTTTTCAGCATCTAAAGGCATGATTGTGTGTGTGTGTGTGTGTTTTAAGATTTATTTAGTTTCAAAATAACTTGTGAAAACTTGTGTAACAACCATTCGTCTGTTTTCTTTAGAGTCCTTTTAGTTGTAAGCTTTGCGCATACACAAATATCTATGGGCATACACAAATATCTATGGATACTGCAATAATACTCCCTGAATTGAGTACAGTAATGTGATGTGTTTGTGTTTAGAACCGGGCTAGACTGTGGTGATGAGTGACAGCCACCTACAGCAGTGGCTCTTCTGGCTCCAAATTGCAGCCTGGATAGTAAAATGAATCACTTTGACTTTCAAGACTCTAGTCATGAAGGAGCGTGTTGGATGGGCCTGCGTCTTCAACTCTCTGTGCCAAGACAGGTGTTTATAGAGGGATGGAGGCTGTGCTGCATTGGACGTAGGAAACTCTTGCAGAGGCTGAGAGTCCTACAAATTCTGTTGGCCAGTGGGATTTTATAATATTTGATTTTGATGAATATTATTCTGTTTGGTTTGCGAACAGATAACAGTCTGTGCTCTTCCTGGTGTGTTCATCTATTTGAGTTAGACAGAAAATGGAAAATATAATTACTTTATATGGCATCATTAAAAAAAAAAGGATCTATTTATTATGTACAGGCTGTTCTGCCTGCATGTATGCCCGCAGGCCAGAAGAGGGCATCAAATCTCATTATAGATGGCTGTGAGCTCCCATGTGGGTGCTGGGAATTAAACTCAGGACCTCTGGAAGAGCAGCCAGTGCTCTTAACTGCTGAGTCATCTCTCCAGCCCAGAACCTGTGGTTTTCTTCTTTCAGTTTGTTTATATGGTGGATTACACTGACAGTTTTTATATGGTGAACCACCCCTGCATCTATGGGATGAAGCTTATTTGATCATAGTGAATGATCTTTTTAATGTGGACTTGGGTTCAGTCTGCAAGTATTTTGTTGAGTGTGTTTGCACATATGTTCATGCAGGAGATTGGTCTGTAATTCTCTTTTTGTTGAGTCTGTGTGGTTTGGTTATCAGGGAAACTATGGCCTCATAAGATGAATTGGGCAATGTTTCTATTTCTTCGCTTCCATTTTGTGGAATGATTTTAGAAGTGTTGGTATTATCTCTCCTTTGAAAGCCTGGTAGAATTCTGTACTAAAATCATCTGCCCCTGATGCTTTTGTTGTTGTTGTTGGGAGGCTCAATATTTGCTTCTATTTCCTTAGGGTTTATAAGTCAAATTAAGTTGTTTATATGGTCTTGATTTAACTTTGGTAAGCAGTATCTATCCAGAAAATTTTCCATTTCTTTTAGATTTCCCAATTTTGTGGAGTACGGGTGTTTAAAGCATGACCTGAAATGTATGTCTGGATTTCCTCAGTGTCTATTTTTATGTTTCCCTTTTGTTTCTGGTTTTGTTAATTTGGATGTTCTATGTTTCTTTTGTGGTGCTGAGATGTGTGAGTGTCTTCAGCCAGCCCAGGCTGCATATCTGTATTCTTAAAGACCTCTGTCTAATATCATTTATCTTAAAGCACATTAAGTTTTAAAGCACATTAAGTTTTAATCCTAATCCTACGTCATATTTGTTTATATAGTATTTTAATGTTTATTTCACAAAATGCTATTTGTGTGTTTATATATGTGTATGTGTGTGTGTGTGTGTGTGTGTGTTTCTTGTTCTCGTAGACTTGTGTACATTAATGCATAGAATGGGTACCCAAATGTATAGAGCTAGCCCCACACTGAATGACAACATATAGAGAATAAATTAATGAGTCTGTCAATTTGACTTTTTTATGTATCTCATTCCTTAATGAGATTTTAGGCTAATTTTATGTTCTGAGATTTCAAAAACTCAACTTTTCTTTCCCTACAGTTTCTGCACATGATGAACTCTAGCACTGGTTTCCAGAAGATAAAATATGATGAAATCTGCCACCTGCTGGGGATTTGTGAAACTGCTAAAACTAGGCCATGTCATTCATATATTGACATACTTTTTATAAACTTTATTTAAAGTACTTGTAAAGTTTTAAAATAAACTTAATTTATGTGCTTAATAGATTATTTCTTTTTATGGTTGCTTAAGATGTTGTTGTTGTTGTTTTTAACCAGTTAGTTTGATGTTGTCAAATGTCCTAGAAGGTCTTTGAAAATCCTCCCTGGTCTACCATCAGCATCTCTTCAGCTTTAAGTTCCTTCATATGTCCTTATTCACAGCATGCATTTAAAATTACAGAAATTCATGCTTTATAAGAGAAGGGACTCATGGCTTTCTCTATTAAAAACAAGCTAATTTTATACTATAACTATCATTTTTTAAATGGAAGTAATGTTGCACTATATTTATCTTAAATGATAGGTTTTAATCTCATGCTGTGTTTACATTGTTCTAAATGTTTCTATTTCATAAAATGACATGCATATCCACAAATGTATATGTTTTTTTAAGACTGGATATTTTTGTAGAAATTAAATAAAGGATGTAAACTGGGTAGTCCTATAGAAACTAAGTAAAAGATTGTCACTGCTGTGTTTAACTAGATAAATAGTAAACATTTTTTAACTATTCAAATAATCTATACTTATAGCATCTTGGGACTAGAACATTCTTCAGTGTCATTTAACTCTCATCCTCCAAAGTGTGATCAGGATGTCCAGCCTGTGGCCCGCCTGCATTCATCCCAGGGGTGTTACCAGTGAAGCCGAGCACTTCTGGAGATGCAGCCTCAGGCTGCAGTATGAGAAGGCTGGACACCTCTGATAGGTCTGTGGCAACCATGGACGCCTGGCTGCTTAGAAGGCTCTCCAGATTCTTCTGAGAACGCAGTGGCTCTAGTGGCTGCCTAGTGCTCCCGGCACCCCTTCAGGATTCTATCAGGTGGGTTCGCCTCCTGTGAAATGAGGAACCTCTCCCTCCAGAGACAGGTTTGTATACAAATCTTGATGACCTTTAGATCTTCAGAATTAGAAAATCCACTATATCTGACAGTATATCCTAGAAAATGTGAAAAATACTCATGCTCATCAGCTTTCCGTTGCTGTGACAAAATACCGAAGGGCAGAACGTTATGGAAGAAAGGTCTGTTCTCTGGGTTTCAGTCACTTATCCGCACTGCTCTGGGCTCGCGAGAGCACAGTATAAGCACCCGAGACGTGTTCACCAAACCTGAACAGTCCACTCACTCCAATTAAGATATACCTTCCTCTCCCTCTTTGCTCACTCGCTGTTTTTATTATTTAAGATATTCAAGTTGTATTCATTCATTTCTGCCTTAACATACCAGATTTGATAGTTCTTCTATCATCTGGTGATTCAAAAGACTAAATTTACATGTCTCATATCTAGATGAGCATATATATCCATATCCAGATTTTTGAATTATGTATTTCTTTGAAAGACCATTCTTTAATAAAATGCCCTGGGCTGGGTAGTTTTATGTCAACTTTACAAAATCCTAAAGTCAGTCTGAGAGGAGGAGCCCTCAATTAAGAAAATGTCACAAGATGGGGCTACAGGCAGTGTTTAATGGAGGGCCCAATCCATTGCGGGTGGGGCCACCCCTGGGCTGGGGGCCCTGAGTCCTGTAGAGAGCAGGAGGGGCGAGCAGGTAAGCAGCATTGTTTTACTGCAGTGCAGCGCTGCACCTGAATCCGCATTGCCTCGGCTAATGTGGGTGGCTCAGGCCCAGACTCAGTGGGATTTATGCATCCACCACCACGGATGCTGCCACAAAACAGAGTTTTTAACTAAGTCTCTGTAGTTCTATTTTACCAATAAAGACCCGAGAGCCAGATGCTGGGGTGAGAGCCTGCCAGCACAGGTTTCCCCAGCAAATAATGCAATCTCAGGGTCCACACTGTGATCAGATATCCTGCAACCAATCAGCACCCTCCATGGCCTCTGCACCAGCCCCTGCATCCAGGTTCCTGCCCTGACTTCCTTCAGTGATGAACAGTGATGTGTAAGGGTAAGCCAAATAAACCCTCCCCGAGGTTATCATGGTATCTCATCATCATGATAACCCTAACTAGGACAGAAATTGGTACTAGGAATAGGTTAACGCTGTAATAGAGCTGATCATACTGTCTTAGAGAGGATTCTGGAAGGACTCTGGAACTCTGGTCTAGAAAAGCCATTAAGTGTTGATAGCTCAGAGTGCTGATCTGTAGGAACTCGGAAGGTAACACTCTTGAGCACTGTGCAAAGGGTTAGAGGCCTGCCGGGCTTGTGAAATTTCACAGGGGAAGGAAAGACTCTACTGAGGCATTTGTGTGAAGAATCTGTGGTGTCTGGTCATCTGGAGCTGTGGTTACAAGAGACCAGAACCACTAAATAGAACCTTTGCTTTGCCAGAACAATGGATGCTGGGGGAACAGGTGTGGTTAAGTCAAGACCAGCCACCTCTGAGGTGAAGTCTTCTAAGAAGTATTTCCTGAGAGTCAGCACACAAGCCGTGTTCTGGGGATGCGCCTTGGTTGTTTAATCTTTCTGAAAAAGTTCTAAGTAAGTTCTAAATAAATTTAAGTATTTATTTTTCCTTCAATACAGAATACATAACTGAAATAGAAGGCTGGTTTTGTTGCTGCTGCTTTAACTGAGATGTGATTTGGAACCCTTCCTGTAACCATGAGTCAGGGCTCAGATGAAGGTGCCTGTGAAGCTCTAGAAGAGTGTTCAGAGTCCCATTTCCTAGGACTCAGTGAGTCACACAAAGAGCGTTTTTATCACTGATTTTGTGTGAGATGAAGTTGCAAATGAACTTCTAAGATGAACTGCCTTAGAATTTTAACTCAAAGGTTAAACAGGAATCAGAAGCAAGAAAGTAGTGGATATGACCATAAATGTTTTTATTAAATGTGAAAATACACGGTCATAAAAATAGTGCCCATATTCATAGACATGTATGAGCCCCAGCTGAAATAATTTTAATTCCTTTTTTTTTAATCAAACACTAAATTGAGATGGATTGTTAGGTTTGTCCCATTTAAAACAAAATTTAAGAGAAATTAACTTATCAACATCTCTAATTTTTCTTTCCCTGTGCCCTGGATTCCTTTGCACAGGTAAACATTTCATCCATAGACAAGTGCAGTAAACCTGTTGTTACTGTACACAAGGCCACGCAGTGGCTAATTTTACTCTTAAATCATTCAGCAAATGAGAGCATGTGTTTAAAAACGCTATCTCCCCCCTCCTAACATCATCACCTGAATGACAGAAGGAATGGTGTGGTCTGGTGGAAGACAAGATCAGCTCTTAGAAATCATCACTTGCCTTCTTCCGTGACCACTCCAGGAATGTCAGATACACTCAAGAAAACTGCCTCGACCTCACCTCACCCTGTGATGTGCACGTTCTAAAAACACTACAAAGGTCATCGCCAGTGCCTACGAGGCAGGTGGGTGCCCACAATGGCCTGAGGAGTGACCAGTGCATCTTAGCTTCTTTCTTCATGGTAAGTGACTTCTGGCCAAATCCAAGCCTTACATGTGAATGTTACTGACATGTTTCTATGTATTTACCAATGAGTCCTAGTTTGGTACTTTTAAAGCAGGGCTTCAAAGTCAGGGTGACCCCCACATTCTGAGACTACAGTCATAAGCCACCATCCTACTCACATTAAAAAGTCAATTCCAGCCAGGCAGTGGTGGCGCACGCCTTTAATCCCAGCACTCAGGAGGCAGAGGCAGAGGCAGGCGGATCAGTTTAAGGACAACCTGGTCTACAGAGCAAGTCCCAGAGCAGGCTCCAAAGCTACAGAGACACCCTGTCTCGAAAAACCAAAAAACAAAAAGGCAGTCAATTGCATTCCTAATCTGAGAGTATTTTTAAATTAAGCTGTTACATCCAATTCACATTATTAAACTACTGAGATTTTTTTTTCCAGGTTTTCTTCTATTCAGTAACCCTGCAGGACTGAGGAGTAAGTTGCCCTTCTGGTAGCATCTGATTTTTCCTCCTTCCTACAGATATGAGCACTGAACGCTCGACTTAGGAAGGTCACCACAGAGGAGGGAAGGCTAGAAACTGAGTTCAGCTAAGGAGAGCTTCATCTGCAGTTCCTAAACACAGGAAGGAAAGTGGAGAATGTCCCTTCAGTAATTGGCTTTACACAGCACGGTGCACAATGTCAGGCCGGTGAAGGGACACTCTGCCATTACTCCTCTGCCCTAAGCTGGACACCAGCCAACAGCATCCATGGAACTGACAGCCATCCTGATCGACTCCTCAGCACAGAGATCTGTCTTCATCTCCCTTCATGGCATGAGCCTTTGGCATTGAAGTTTGCAGGGGGCAAGGCTAACCCTCAGTTACTTTGCGTAGTTACAAGTAGGAGAAACAACGACAAAACAAAACAAAAACCCACCAAACTTAACCTCTCTGGGAAGCACATGAGGAGGCAGTAGATCCTGGACACAAATCCATGCAGCCCAACCTTCAACCATGGCTCCACTCTACCTGAAACTTTGCATCTGCTCTAAGTGGGAGAGTAAGCTACCCAATGCTTCCTTGGTGCAAACATGCACTTTGGAAAGCACACAGATGCCCACTCCAGTTCAGAACTGTCAGTGACATCATCCAAAAAAGGAGTCAGACCGAAAAACAACTGTAATGTAAGTAGTTAACGTAATTTACTAAGATTTGAAAAGCACACAAAAGCGTGTCACACTGGCTTGAGTTTGTTTGTTTGGTGGGGGCATGGAACTCACTCTAAACCAGACTGGTCTGCTTCTTGCCTCTAGTGCTAGGTTAAAAGGTGCATGTTACCACACATGGCCTGACTTGAATTTGGGACACTGAAGCAAAGTCAAAGCTGAAAGGTATTCTGAAATGCATTGTTTATTGGTGAGGAACGTTTTGCCCAACTCTACTATGTGATTTATGTTCTTCCATTCAAAATTTTTCCTATGGATGCTCAAGGGTATGACTATAGGCTAAGAAATGAGTTGTGCTTGGATGCTACATTCATACCTCCCACAGTTAAAAAGCTTAATTTCATAAAAGCAATATATTAGACCTTTATATTTTAAATATTTCACAATGTTTCAAGAAAGAAAGAAAAAACTTCCTAGAATAAAGGCAATAATTCTTACCAAAGTAATTCTTTAGATTTTCAATGCAGCATCAGTAGTTCATAAATCTTTGTTCTTGATTTAGCAACAGATCTTTAGGGAAAAAATTATCCAGTATACAAACCCTGAACAGTATATTTCTTAAAGTGGAACCTGCTTAAAAAGCCAGTGTGGTCTCCGGGAGGAAGTTGGAGATGCATCTTACCCAGTGAAATGTTAGCAAGTACACTGACAAATGGGCTGATCTGCACATCTGCCTAAGCTCAGGTGGGAATCTCAACACTGTTTGCTAAGCCAATCTCTGTGACAGATCTTTCCATCAAACTACTCGGAGCTTCCCTTGTCTAAAGGTCATTGCAAACTGAGCTGCCACAGTACTGTCTGAAACACCACTGAGCCTCTCATGTATTGGAATTTGTTCTGTTTAACACTTGAAGGAGGATCTCTAAGTTTTTACAATTAAATCCAAGTGAAACTGGTATTCTGTAGACACAAAACAAAAATATATGCTCAATTTCAACACAGTCTACCCCTGGACACAGCACTTACCACACGACGGTGCGTTTCCTAGAGACGGCGTCCACCCTTCCAGCAGCCACGCCATGAGGACACAGGGACAGACGAAAGCACTTGCAAGTGACTGGACTACACACAGTTATCCCTAAGAAAATACTGTTCACACATTCTCTTAGGAACAGAGAGACACAATCCATGCTCCTGGGTTCCAGCCCCGCCCTCCTCACAGTCGCTACGCCAGGCTGTGTAGAACATATGTATATATTAATGCTATTTGAACACCCCACAGGGTAAAGGCCCCAGACCACACCCCCAGGTGTCACAAGATGCGTTCAGGTGACTTTGTCCCACTTGGCAGGCCCATGAAGTCTACAAGAACAGCTTTTTTCCTTAAAACAACTCTTTGGTCATGGACAAACTGAAAGTTTTGCTTCGTTTTGTTTACATTAGAATTCCAAACAGTTTTTGTTTTAATGTTAAAAATAATAAAGGAGAGTAGCGGTAAAAGGGCTGCTTTAATTGAAGTGGAACTTAAATCTAAACGGTCCGCCTGAGCTGAAGGGATTGAACCCTTGCCATGAGTTCCAACTTCTGTGGAAGGGGTTGCCACCACCTCCTTGCTGACTCTCGGCATCGAGAGGGTCTTCTCCATCATCAAACTTCTTTCTCATTTCTAAAAAAGAAACCAGCAAAGTAAGGCCCACATAGTAACCAAAGGTATGGGTATGAGGCTGTGACACTCAAATCCCTACTTTCCCATTCCCATCCTGAAGAAAATCCTGCAAAGGGAAATCCCAAGTCATGTTCTTTGTAGAACATGAGTCATCAGGCAAGAACCTCACAGAGTCGCCTCCAAAGAGCATCTAAGGAAGTATTTGCCCAAAGGTAAAACAGTACACTCCATAAGGCTCACTTTCCTCCCCAAAAGTACCTTAGTCCCATGAACACAAGGACTGGCAAGGACAGGGCCTCCCCTAACTCCACCAAATACCTCCAGACCACCAACTCTGGCCCAATCGTCACACTACATTTGAGGGACAGTGGAAGCATCTTGCATTTGATAAGAACAGGTAAACTGTACCTAATGTGTTCAATAAATGAAGTGTACCTGTCCCTCTTACTAGATCAATCCTGCAATATAAATGGATACACAGCAGAGATTTGCTCTTTGTTGACCCTTCTTAGTTCACATCAGAGCACCCATACCTACACCTATGGCCTTCTTAGTTCACATCAGAGCACCCATACCTACACCTATGGAAAGCCACAAACAGCAGTGTGGACACCCTTTCCCTGCCTCCCGTCTCCCCAGACTGGATTCACATGTACACCTGTTCCCGTGACTTAAGATCTACCCTCCTCCCGTGCTTTTAGTAAGCCAGCGTGACACACCGGTTTCCTCGCCAGGCTCCTGCGACATTTGGGAATCTGGTACGGAGAACCATCCATCACCGAGCTAGGAGGCTAGCAGGGGTCTGAGGGGCGTGCCTGTTAGACTCGGTGTTGTACTTTTCATATGACGGCAGGGAAATGACAGCAATTCCCTCTACAGCGGTACAGTACTGACCGCCCACCTGAGGGTCCCCAGACTGCACGCAACACAGTCCTCCAGCTCACAGCCTGCTGCTCTACATTTCACCTGTGTTCTTGCCCGGGGTGGGAGGAGGAGGGGAGCGTTCATCCCCAACTGCACAAATACGCTGCAGCACAGGGTACCTGGGTCTGAGAGGACTTCCTTAGCAGCTGCGATGTCAATGAACTTTTTCTCTGCCTTCTTCTTTTCTTCTTCATTCTGGAAATTATCAGGATGCCACTGAAGTGCTAGTTTTCGGTATGCTTTAATGATTTCTTGTTTTTTGGCATTTCTGAAGGAGGATGAAAATTATTTAGCAATTGTCAGAAAGGTCCAAACCTACTTTCATTTAAAAAAATGAAATCTAAGAGCTGTGTTGGTAGTCTGAGCACTCAGTGGTAGAGGGCTTCCCTGGAGTACATAAAACCGGGGGGTTAATCACAGCAGCGCAAACAAATCCTGCAAGCTACGCAAGCGTAAGGAGACAGGAAGAGTGTCACCTCGTGGCACACAGCTTCATTTTCCTCGAAATTTCAGAGAGCAAAGATTTAGCATGCTGTTCCATCAACTTTCCTTTCCTTTGAGCCATGGGGTGGTGGGGGCAAACACTGAGGCAGCCACTGGTCTAACAGCCCTATGCATCCCAGAATGCAGTGCAAGTCTTTACCGTAAGCCAATTCTACCATCAGGATGGCGGCACACGCCTTTAATCACAGCAGTACTCTAGAGGCAGACAGATCTGAGGGTAAGGCCAGCTAGGTCTACAAAGTGTCTTCAGGATTGCCAGACTCTGCCAACCAATCAAACCACAACACACAAATCTCTGAAGCCCTTGCTTTAGGTTGAGTTGACTTAATTTTAAGACCAAAGCATAAAACTTTGGAACAAAAGCTGACTGTCTACTTAGTCAGAGAAAATAAGTCTTTTTTAGACAAAACCTTTATTTTTATTTTATGTGTTATCATGTGTGTAATGACAAACTAGAAGAGGTCAGAACTGGAGTTAGAGCTGGCCATGAGTGCTGAGAGCTAAACCTGGGTCCTCTGCAAGGGCAAGTGCTCCTAACCACTGAGCCATCTTTCCAGCCTGGGGAACAGTAACAGTACAGCTTTACCTTTGGGCCCAGGGGAGGGCTTTTGTTCTTGCTCCTACCCCACTGAAATAAAGTGCAACTCTACTTTCTTAATCCTTTCCAAAAAGTCTTGGCCTGAGACCCATTTCCAGCCCAGCCTTCATCAACAATATCTATTAGTCCATCACCGGTCTTTATAAAACAATCTGCCTGTAACCTACTGAAGGCAGTTCATGATGTTATGTATGGGCTCTTAGAATAATATATGACTGAAATAACACGACCAAATGAAGTGAACCAAGTTAGACAGGAGAAGCGACAATCAGCTTTAAAGCAGTTGAATACATAGCAATAATTCACCTTTTTACTCCCAAGATTTTATAATAATCTCGTTTCTGTGACTGTTTCAGTAGCCGCTGGGCTTTCTCTAACCCTTCCCGAATCTGTTGATCATTTTCGTTGTGTTCCTGAGCAGCTTCATAATCCTGAATGGCTGTCAAAATATGTTTAGGGAAATGCTGTTAGGGGGAAATTACGATTCAGTGCCTCTATGTATTCTACCAACTTGGTACTAAGTCCTTGCTATCAGAGCCTAAGTGGTGCCATTTTATAATTTTGTTCAAACGCAATTCATAACTGAGGCAGAAGGTCTCACATCATCTTCCTACACCGCCTTCAGGGTGTTAATACTGTATAACACCACTAGACATAAGTGACCTCTGCACAGCAAAGACAGTGACATGCCTGATAAGAAGGTCAGCATTATTCCAGATGGAGAGCAGGGAGTAAGAGGAGAATGGATGACTGGCTAAAACCACGTGAAGTCATCAAATACATTACAAAATTAGCAAAAATCCCAAATGTTCATAAAGTATTATAAAAAATGTCCTAACTGAACAGACTATGAAAACTGGTTTATATTCCAGTGAACTGGTTTCAAAAGACCTCTGTCCTCAGATGCTATGTCTGCTAATGGGCCACTGAGAAAGAATAACTGTCTTCAAAATAAAATGTAACTGAACATGCTTGATTTCCTACAATTTAACCTTTAGCTACTGAAGTCAATTCCTTCAAAGTTACCTTCGTCATACATTTCCTCTATTAAATAGGCCTCTGCTCGGTCTTTGAGAGCATTCACATTGTCAGGTTCCATCTGTAAAACTTCAGAACATATTCTAATGGCTTCAACAGGCTTCTCATCCTAAAAGTCAATGTAAGAAAAGAAACATGGGCTGGGGTGCATCTCAGTGGGAAGGAGCTTGCCTATCACGTGCAAGTCCCTGAGTTCAACCTCAGTACCAAAAGGTAGATAAGAATAAATACTGTGAACCAGAGATGGCTCAGTGGGTGTGAGCACACACGATGAATGGGCTCAGTGAGTATGAGCACACACGATGAATGGGCTCAGTGGGTGTGTGCACACACGATGAATGGGCTCAGTGAGTGTGTGCACACACGATGAATGGGCTCTGAGTGTGAGCACACACGATGAATGGGCTCTGAGTGTGAGCACACACGATGAATGGGCTCAGTGAGTGTGTGCACACACGATGAATGGGCTCAGTGAGTATGAGCACACGATGAATGGGCTCTGAGTGTGAGCACACACGATGAATGGGCTCAATGGGTTTGAGCACACGATGAATGAATGAAAAAGGACTCGATTGAATTGTAAGTGGCTGTTATTCCACGTCAATTATTCACGTGTTACCTTAGAGAAACAGTGACAAATCCTCTCTTTGGAGCGGACAGTATACTCAGCAACGCTGGGCTCTGTTTTCATGACAGATTCGTACTTGCTGGTTGCATCTGTGTATCTATAAAATGAGCAACCGAGGAGTCACAATGAAACTGTCTCCAAAGCTGTAGAGACCCCCCCCATCACTGTGCATTGTTTAACAAACACACTGAGAGCACAATACAGCTCCTCTAACCTTAACCAAAGTAGCCTTCTCAGTGTAGAGAGAGGAGCCCTAAAGCATGGGCGGGGCCCGCGGGAAGGACGGGGATGGCCGGATGACTCATGTGGTGGAGAGAACCCATACATTATTCTACAGGGCAATGCACATGCCTGTATACACAAAGACATACTAAAAACAATCTAAAACATGTTAACTCTACACAGCTTCGCGGAACTCATCATCCACACTGAAGGGAAACCAGGGCTGCACCTTAGGGTCATCCCTGCTCCTGTAAGCCGGACAAGCTCACTAGTTCATCACGAGAACTCGAGTGCTCTATCGCTAGCAAAACCTGGTCATGTCTCCCTAGAAAAAGTTCACAAAAGAGGAGACTGTGAATATGTGTGTGTGTGTGCTTGTGTGTGTGCATGCCTGTGCACTTGTGCGTGTGTACTGGGAGTGTATGTAGGAAAGCGCTGGAGATCAAGTCCTGGAATATGTCAATTACTCTAGAGTTAGAGCTACAGCTCTGTGTAAAGACTTGCACATGAAAGTGTAAGCTTCAGTGCATGAATGGCTAAATAAACTATAGTAGACACTAATACTAAGGAAAATATTAACCAAGAAATAGGAAATGGTAAACACCCATAGAACTTTATGGTATTGCAAGATGTTACAGTTTGCAAGATGCTACAAAGGACTCAATCTGCCTGACACTACGCAAAACTGTCTGCAAAGTTCAACCCTCCTCCCCAGCTATCAGCCCCCGAAACCCAATACTCAAGGGACTCCTACTTTAAGATGAGAATCTGGGTGCCTACCACCTTCTGAGGGGAGAGCTTTTCCCCTGGTCTTCCTTCGGCTGCAGCCCTTGCGAGTTAAGGACTCTTCTTTGCTATCAAGGCTATGCACTAGCGCTCTATGCTGACTCCCACGTTAAGCTATAAACCTTGTAAGACTAAACACTGTAGTCACATCTCTGTACTCTCGGTAGACAGTCCAGTGCCTGACACACAAAGTAAGAAAACGTGAGCTAGCATGCGGCTGCTGGTAAGGAAGAGCACTTTGCCTGCTTCCACAGTATATAACTCAGGTAGTGTGGCTGAGGCCCAGTGCTCTCTAGACCCTCACCCGACAGGTGAGGAAGGCTCTTACCTGCCATCTCTGATAAGCTCTTCAGCTGACTGGATCAGCTTATTCAGTTTCTTCACTTGCTTATAGTGTGCAAAACACCTTTTGTGATCCTGGTCAAGTTTCAGACATTCACGCACTTCGCTGCTCATAGAAATTTTTAAAAAAAGAAATACTCCAAGTCAAAGTCATTGAATACTTCTCTGAATCGAGTAGAGAAAGCACCATTAACAACAGGCCGACTTCATCATCTGCTATACACATTCATGCAGGACATCATCTTATAGACACAAGGATTGAATTGGCATAAGTTATGCATAAGTAAAAGCATGCTCACTTTAGCTGAGAATATTTCTTGATAATAAACTGAGAATTGCACAGAACTGACCTGAGGGATAACTCGTGGTCTCCTAGGTGATAGTACAGGGTGCTGATCCTGTAAAAGGCCTCTGTGTTGTCGCTCCTCAGTTTCGAGGCAGCCTTTAAGTCACTGATGGCTTTCCTGGGCTCCCCTTCCTTAATGAAACAGTCAGCTCGAAGCTCACGCAGCTCTGCATCCCAAACACAAACCTTGAGAAACAGAAGAACTAGACTTTGAGAAACATACACAATGTACATGGATTCCTGCCCCCCACGCATCCCATCCACATATTTACACATGGCACACCCTCAATTAATATGACCAAAATCAGTACTTTATGAATGGTGTTTAAAATCCTGCTATATGTAAATGTACAAATAGGATGGGCAATTTCTTGAGCGTGACTTAAATTATAAGGAGATACATACACAACAAAAGGGACTTCTTGCCCAGATTATAAAATTTTGATTTTAGAACTCTGAATATACAAAAACATAGCATTTGCAAACTGAGCTCCAGCCAAGCGTGAGATGAAACCCTCTCTCAAACAAAGCAATTCATCTTTTATCCATTATCTAGCATAATATTCTCCAAATCTAAAGGGGGAAGAAGCCAAGCAGTAAGTAAAAATGTAATTCTTAGCCAGGCGTAGTGCTGCACACCTTTTATCTTGGCACTATGCAGGCAGAATGAGGAGATCTCTGTGAGGAGATCTCTGCCTGGTCTACGCAGAGTTCAAGGTCAGCTAGAGCTACCTGGGAAGACTGTCTCAAGAAACAACAAAAAATATAGTTCCCATTTCACAGCACAACAGCCTTTACCAAAAAAAGCCTGCCGCTGCAAGCTTATGTGACCTTTCTTAAGAGCTAAAAGCCCAAGCATCAGTCTGTACCCTTCTTGATTTGGGCCACATATAAACATGCAAAGTAGCTACGGCCCGAGTCATCAACGGTAGTACTTGAGACCCTCACCTCCAAAATCTTATCCAGGAAGGTTATAGCAGCGCTATACTCGGCACTCTCGAAGGCACCCAGGGCTTGTGAGCGCAAGCGCTGCATCTCATCCGACTTGACAAGCTGAGACTGGGCTTCCTTCTCTTCGTTTTCACTTGGATTGGACTTGAGCTACAAGCAAAACAACAGAACAATTAAGTTTTAATCCCTTCAGTCCCGTACCTGTAATGCACAAAGATCTGATCATTCTAAGCACCATGGTGCAGACACTGCACACAAGAACCAGTCAGGCCGTGCTGAAATCCTAACCACAAACTGAGGTAATACAAACAGCTGCTTACTCAGGGTTGTTCACGATACAGCATCAGGTAACAAACCAGTTTTGCCATTTCTCAGTGACAAGGCTGTGACTGTTGCATGCGTGCTCTACGGCAGGCTGATCTTGGCATTGTTTATACTCCATGTCCGTGGTGGGGCCTGCATGTCACAGTGCAAATGCAGACACAAGCAGCCGTGTCTCCTGACAGCATCAAGGTCCCAGGGCCTGAACTTGGTCAGACTTGACAGCATGTGGCTTGACCCACAGAGCCCCAATAAAGCCTAATTAAACGTTACTTCCCCAAACCCCCCCCAGACCCCAAATTAACTGCTTTTCCTCATACTGCGCGTTTCCTTTGACAACAGAGAGACAAGAACACGTATCTGGGTATGCAAGCATTCCCAAGCAGAGCGACCGGCAGGCACTACTACAGTGCAAGGCCCCTTTCAGTGCCGGGGACGGAGGCCAGGGCCGCACTCATTCTCAGCCCAGGCTCCACCACCGATTATTCGCCCAATAGCTCAGTGACAGAATCCGATCCTCCAAAGGTGCAATCGTAGGCTCAGCCCTAACCCTGGAAACAACTCAATACACAATGAGGACAGGTTATAAAGAAGAAATCCATTTCCCCTTGAGTTACACATCAGCTAAATTTAAAAAGTGGACATTCTCATCCAAGCGAGTTATAGCAATTAAAGTACCTAAATTTGACCTGTAATAACAGTGTAATTGAATGGAGCCCACAGGTTTACTTGCATGAACTTTTAGGTTATGCACACACAAAGTAAAAGGCAAGTGACGACATACAGGGGACATGTTATAAACTGAATTATAAGATAAGGCATAAATATGCAAGTGGTAGCACTACCTTACACAACTCAAACATAAGAAGAGTTGTGAGTAAACAGGCCAAGCAGTAGAGAATGAGGGAATGAGAAGCAGACGCACGGAATCTCACTCCACACCACTTACATCAGGGGAAGGCTATGGGAAACCACAGAGCTGCCTGCCATCTTACGCTTACTAGCAATACCACTGCATGGATGTTCCTGGGGGGGGGTCCCCTGCAACGTCATGGCCTACAGCAAATCCATCTGCAGAGAGGGAAGAAGGAAAACTCAGCTCTCCCAACTTAGTGCTGGTCCAAACTTCTGGTCTGGTCTGGTACCATGTCAGATTAGTTAAATAAGGTTCAATTTGGGTGAAGTGTTTCTTGGTAAAAAATTATCCCAATCCCATGTGCACAGTAAAGCTTTTTACAAAGTACATTTGACTTCTCTCTGAAGATGGGTTCTACAGTAGAATTAAGAGCCTGGGATTTGGTGAGGGGTCACCAGGCTCTAAGTGCATGTGACACCCCACTAACGATGGGTTCTGTTGACTAACAGACAACATTCTGGGGAACTGGAGTGAGATCTGGCTCTATAGATAGCAAAGGCCAACAGGTATTTAACAACACGCACTGGCAGACTTACAGGCAGGAATCAGGTATTCACTGCTTCTGTTGAGGAGAGTAACACCCCGGCTTTCCCAGTGCTAATCTGTGCCCCACTCTTGGCCTCCACAAACAGCCCCCATGTGCTAAGGGGACTGCTGACTAACCCTTAGCGTGACGCCGCTGGAAAGTACCGATCCTAAGAGGTAAGGGCTGGAAGACTTTAGGTCTCTGAAAGCATACTACAAGGCAGGATGGTGAGATGCCTGTTTCCTGACCCTGCTTCCTAGAGAGAAAGGGCTCCCCCACCATGAAGGACTACGTCACAACCGGGACCAGAACAGGCGCCAAATGGCCATGGGCTGAACGTTTGAGACAAACAAGCAGAAAGGGGGTGTCTGCTGTACACAGAAAATGAACCCTGCTGGCAGAAATGTAATTTCAGGAACAGTATGTAGGTTTTGAAAGCAGTTAAAAATACAACTACTATATGACCTGGTAATCTTCTCCCTGGACAGAGGGAAATGAACCCATCACTCTGTAACCTTACCCGAGGCGCTGCCCAGTGCAGCACGATGTACAACAGCAGATACAGAGCACCTGACTATTCCTGTTAGCCCCGGGGTGTCCTCACCGCCAGGTCAGTAGGATTTCCGCAAGTTTAAATTCCTTCCAGTTGATATGTGTGTACCCAATCACTACTAATGGAGAGTTTACTACATAAATTACCAAAGATTGATACTTGGTTTTAAAATTAAATTGCAATTGACAGTAATTTATTCACTAAATGTGTAACTGTTTACTATAAGGACAATGCAGGTTTTCCTTGTGTGCTGCTGGTAAGAATGCAAATCAGCAGTCACTGAGGAAACAGTTTGCAGGTCTTCCAAACACTAAAAAGGAGACCTAACCATGATCCGGTTATGGATACATTTGAAGGACAAGAAGACAGCATACAGAGATATCTGCACGCCCATGGCTGCTGGGACACTATTCACAAAGGCCAAGACACTCAGCATAGACGCTAACCAACAGATGGCCAGATTAAGAAATAAATGGTATATACACAATGGAGAATTTCTAGTCTAGTCATAAAGGATGGAGCCATGCTATTTGCACACTGGCTGGCCAGAGGGTCCTAAGGCAGCCTGTCCCCACCCCTGGCACTCAGAGCACAGGTCCTAAGGCAGCCTGTCCCCACCCCTGGCACTCAGAGCACAGGTGTGGTGTGGTGTGCAATGCCATGCCCAGCTCACAGGGTGCCCACGCCTGCACAAGCACTTGGCTCGTTTGGAACATGTCCGCAGCCCCAAGAGTTCACTTGTGTTATGTAAAAGGCAACAGGCACATCTATCCAGTTAGCACACAAATCTGCCTTCCTCTTGAAATGAATTGTTTTAAAATAAATTCTACGACTCACTGTCATGAGGTGTTTGTCTGTATGCCTGTTTTATACACAAGTATACCCAGGATTATGGAACAAGCTATGGAGTGAAAAGGTCACTAGGAAAAGTGTTCAAGAGGCCCTGCTTTGAGCCTATGAACATGTTTCAGTGTCATTTCTAGACTGTCACGTGGGCCAAGTTAAAGTAAGTGAGCCTACAACTGAATAGGGCTCATACATCAACTGTATGCTTGTCATCTTGCAACTGTTAATACAATTCTTTGATGCCAGTCCTTAAATCTTTATTCAGGAACTGTAATTCATTCATATGTATGTGTATGTATATATGCATGCTTTTCTTATTTAGCTGTAAAGTTACTATTAAATACCTTATTGCAAAGAAAAATAGATTCTTTGTGTCTCTCGATAACACCCTCCTGGCGCTGCACTTACCACTTTCTTGAAATCCTCTTCAGCGTCATCGAGTTTCCCTTGTTTGAGTAGTAGGTGGCCTCTCTGTAATCTTGCCTAGGTGGAAAAAGAGGGGCTGTCCTGAGTACATGGATTTCTAAATGTTCTTTAAGCATAAAGAATAAAACTAACCCTGAAATCAACTTCCTAGTATCCACTTTTCCATGTATGACTTAGCACTAAGACTAATTCCTATAGCTTCAGAATGTGCACAACTTTTTAAAAAATGTTTTCTCTAAAAATATGTTTTGCTCAACCCAAAGAAATCATAAGCAGGGTTATTGGGCCGGGCGGGCGGGAGGGGGGGCTCTCTTTTGTTTGGTATAAGGTTTCTTTTGAACACCCTGGACAGTGGTAATGACTATACAAGCTAAACAGAACCCATGAAAACTTCACTTGGGCATTCTATGGCCCAAGAGTTATATACATTAAAATAAATGATGCTGGGTACCAAGCACAGGGACCCATCAAGTTGAAAGACACCAGGTGCTACTTGCAAGCAACATTCCAGGCCCTGTATTTTCATTTTAAAACAATACTTTTTGACTTCATACCAACTTTCTTCCACTAACAGTTGCAGTGAGACCACCAAAGCTCCAAAAATAGATACGCTTTTCATTAACCTTCAATGTGAATGTTTCCTACAATGCCTAATATTCCTCTTATTCTCATACGTATCATCCCAGTTCTTGACAACACACACATACCTCTCTTTGATGACTAATTCCTTCTAAAACACAGAAACCACACTGACATTCCACTTAAATGTATGTATTACTTTACAGGACATAAAATTTCCCTGACCCTCTATTAGATACATCAATACACACAAAAAGGACAATGAAGGCCACTTCATCTAGCTAATGACTAATAATGCTAAGAAAACAGGTCGCTTCACCTCTGTGAAAGATTGTATTCAGCTGTGTCAAGTAATAAATCACAAAAATATGGCAGTTGGTAATTTTATCTTAAAATAATACAGCAGTATTTCATATCAAACATACTACATAGTCAGTTAGCTCAGTAAATTATAAGCAATTGATCCGAACAGCCTGTGTGTGTACTCTGCTGATCAGTCTTGGATGTGAAACAGCACACACAGGTTCACATGTTGAATGTGTGGCCCTCAAATGTGCTGCCATTCTGAGCACCAGTGCAAACCGTAGGAGGCAGGGCCGACCTAAGGCAAGCGGGGCACAGCGTGTCTTTGGCTTGGGGCCATGTCTTATCCTGCTAACGTGCGCTCTTCTCTGCTTCCTGTCCCATGTTCCCGCTGCTGTGGGTACCCTGTCTCACCACAGTTCCACAGTCACGCAGCCCAGGCTGTGTCCTGAATCCTGAAAGCTCTGAAACCCTGAGTTACAGTGAATCTCCCTTAAGTTGATTATGTTAGCTGTGTCACCACATTGATGAAACTCACGCACCACCAAAGGAGTCCCCCTGCAACCTGCCACAGCCCCAAAGTGACAGGCCAGCCATCAGGACAGGAGACCAGCTTCTGTGCCTCCAAATCTCACTCACTGGACTCCAAAGAGAGCCTACTACGCTGCATGGAACCCTCAAACACCGCCATTCTTCCCACCTCACTCTTCAATGGCAATGTTGTCCGTCAGTCTGCTGAAATGCTGTCACTTCAGCCTCGGGTCTCTCTCGTCATGCCCCACATCCCATCCTTCACATAGATTTGTCTTTCTTAGCCACACAGCTAATACTAGCAGGCTTCTGGGAGAAAATCGCTTAGCACATACACCCTCTGTTACTGTCCCATACAAACCTTGTTTTGGTTTTGCTGAGACAGGGGCCCTCTACATAGCCTTGACTATCCTGGAACTCACTCATTATGTAGACCAGGCTGTCCTTGACCTTAGAGATAAGCATGTCTCTGCCCCTGTGTACTGCGCCTTGACTAAAGGCATGCGCACAGACTGTAAACCCCAAGTGTTACTGAGACAGGGTCTGGCCACGTATGGTAGGTCCTCAAGCAGACAGACCGCAAAACCTGGACTCCAGGGCTTGTCCCGCCATCACCCTCCCTGCCACAGGGCCGGAACAATGCTATGTGCCACACTAGGAAGAACCCGGGTAAGAAGTCTATTTCTCGTTTGCCGCTCCACACGACGGCTTCCATACCCTTTAGTAATGTCTAGGGTGCCAACACTCACTACAGGGAACACATCACCCCTTCCTGTTTCCCTTAAGCTCCCCATTAGGCAAGTTTAGGTGCACTTACAGCAGTGAAATCCATCTTCAATTCAATCACCTTAGTTAAGTCAGGCAGTGCTGCTTTGGATTTTCCCATCGCTAAGAAGACAGTGGCTCTCCGATAGTATGCAATATAGTTATCAGGGTCACCATCTGAAAATCGAAGTAATAAATACTAGCTTTCTGTAATGTATTTTTGACAAGACCATCTGAGAAAATTACAGTTTGCAATTCTATTAAGAATGACAGACAGAGCAGGCAGTGGTGGCGCACGCCTTTAATCCCAGCACTCGGGAAGCAGAGGCAGGAGGATCTCTGAGCATGAGGCCGGCCTGGTGTACAGAGCTACACAGAAAGAAAAGAATGACAGACAAGCATAGTAGTGCACAGTATTAATCAGCACTTGGGAGGCAGAGGCAAGCTGAGTTTTAGGACAGCCTGGTCTACATATCCAATTCCAGGCAAGCCAGGGCTATGCAGACTGTGAAAACAGTGAGGATAAGAATGGCATTACAATTACGCGCCTGGGATACAGTTGAGTAACCCTGTGCTTATGTCAGTGAAACACATGGCAGTCCCTGAAAGGTGGTACACCCAGAAAGAACACAAAAGCCCAGGTCTTCCCTCTGCATGGCCCTATCTATGCACTTCCCCTCTCTGGATGCGTGATCTGTGCCTCTGTAATGTCCTCTGGCCTCCCCAGTAAAGATCCTTCCCTAATTCTTAGAGCCATCCTGGAAAACTTACTGAGCTTAGGAAGAAGGGGCTCGTGGGACCCCTGATGTATACCTGGTGCATCGGGGGCTTCAGACTGGCAGCTAGCGTGGGCAGCAGTTCGCTCAAAACCTACAGGTCGTTAGGCTGCTACATCCAAGCACAGTGTTAGAATTTAACTGAACCTTTAAGGTTGCTCAGAAGGAAGAAGTCTCCACACATAAGTCAAAAGGTATTGAATGTTGGGTAGGAACAGAGGTTGAAAATGAGTTTGCTTCTATACCCTTACAGAATCAAACGACAATGGTTCAACACAGAAATGAAAAAAATCCCCTTGCTGAGAGGTATGGGATCACTTGGATGGAACCTGACTTCCTGTCGTTTCATGGGCTGGCTGGATCCCTGGGTCAAATCACTGCCTTACAAGTATGAGGACTGTGTCCCTACACCAAAGCCCATTTAAAGCCCGGCACACACTATGTATTCTATCGCCTCTTGTCTGGTGCTGAGTAAATCACTCTTCGCACCACAGATCAAGGGGAGAAATAAACATAAATAAATAAGTAAGTAAATAAATAGGACCTGAGAAAAGTCAATGTCAAAAGGCCTAAGTTAAAATTTAGGCAGTCACTAGTAGGAAGATGCTTCAGAGCTGGGCACGGTTGTAGACCATGCTAAATCCCAGCATTCACAAGGCAGAGGCGGGAGGAACTCTGTGAGCTCAAGGCCAGTGTGGTGTACTTGGTGAGGTGTAGGCTAGCAAAGAGTGCACACCAAGATTCTGCCTCAGGAAGAGAGAATGAGGACATGTACCCTGTCACCTCTTTTCTTTGGACAGCACGGTGACAGCTGACATTGTGGAAAGATACAAGTCCCCCAAAGGAAACTCCGTAAGAGGCAGCTGGAATCTGAGCAATGAAGAAGTCACAGAACCAGAAAATCTCAGATCCGGAAAAACCATCATAGTGATGACTATACTGAAAGCCAAAGAAAAGCATAGCACAGCACGGGAGGTTTGCTCCAGACAGAGTCAGGTTCCACCAGCATCCCCGGTTCTTCATTGCATGTTGACTACACATAATGATGGCTTTTGGTATGCCTTTTCTCCACAAGGACATGTTGAATTTTTTATTATATTCAACAGATGTTCACTCGCTCCTTTAATTCCCCCCATCCCTCTTCTACTCTCACGTCTCTTGTATGTGTTTGTTTTGTTGACCCAATGAGTCTCAGCGTTGTTATAGGGTCCTGGTTTGGGTAAGGAATTATTTACAGGAGAATAGACTCCTTAGCCACTGGCAATATTATTGAAGAAGATGCCTCTCCCTCCCCTGGCAACTATTTAATGCCCCTCATTACTTCAGGACGCAGTGACGGAGCACCTCAGGGTGCCCCATAACCTGCCTGTAGGTGGGGAGGCCTCCACCACCCAACCCTGCACAGGCCTTATGCCAGTAATTCTCCACTCCTCTGCCTCTCATTCCTTCCATCATCTTCCCTCACAGCTAAGCGTTCAACAGTTCCCTATTCTCTATGAGTAACTCTCTGGAGTTACTACTGACCACTGCAGAAGGGAGTCTCTCAGAATGGCGAAAGATCGAGCTATTCTTAATGCATACACGACTAAGCCTCAGTGACCTGCTTTTTTATAGATTTGCTTCTAAAGAGTGTGTGTGTGCATGTGTGCGTGCGTGCGTGCGTAGGTATGTGTATGTGAGTACAAGTGCTTAAGTCCAGATATATCAGATCTCCTGGAGCTGGAGTTTCAGATGGTTTAAGCCAACAGATGTGCGTGCTGGAAATTAACCTTAGGCCCTATGGAAGAGCAGTCTATGCACACTCTTAACCACTGAGCCTTCCCTCCGGCCTCCTCCGTTACCTCTTCTGCCAGATACTAATGTGTTGTGTGTTTATAAGTCTAATTACCAGAATCCTGAAAATATGCCTAATGGTTCATTTAGCATGCAATAATGCTTGCTATCCAAGATGGAAGCTCTGGCTGCGATACCAACCTACTGCAGCATGAAACTGAGACAATGCATCAGCTAGCTGTCCAGCTGCAAGTAATTTCTTCCCCAATTCAAGATGTTTCTCCACATCTGCATTTACTCCACATTCAGCACCTAAAAATAGAACAGAATAATGAGTTAACTTTCCAGGAAGCAAAATTTAACCCTAATAAATAAAAAGACAGCTCGGTCATCTACTAAAATGAGAAGTCACAGAAACTGAAAATGACAGAGAATAGAACAGTTTCATTTTATAGAGTACAAAAAGCTCCAAAAATACCTATATTCAATTTAACCAACCTAAAGAATAAAAGCAGCCTATAGAATAAAAGAGAAATAGGTTACAGTATTAGTGCAGTTATTCTGAACAATTACTTGGTGTATTTTGTTCAAGCTGGGAAGATGATGGCTGTTATCTTCCCCAACAACCACCACAAAAATGCCATGGCAGCCCATGTGGAAACGGAGTCCTCAGACAAGACGGGCAGCCAGCAATCCACAGCGAAGGCTCTAGAGTCAGTGAGAGCCAGCCTCAGAAATAAAAACTAAAGCAAGGTCGGAAGACACCTGACACTAATCTGGCTTCACGTGCACATGAACACACACACACACACACACACACACACGTGTGCACGCACACTTGTGAGCACAGACACACACCACGTATTTCCGTGAGGAAATGCTTTGCTTACTGCGTGAATGTCAGGCTGCTCTGATATCCGAGTGCTTGCTGAGCACGCAGGACACACCAGGCACTGTTCTAGTTATTTGGGTAGGAGAGCCCTGCCCTCTGAACCCTCCCAGTGCCAGACATCACAGTGTGGGAGACAGACATAATAAACAGTGCAAATTACTGTGCAGTGAGTTAAGTCATGTGAGGGGTCCACCGTGAGAGGCCACTTGACTAAGTGACCAAATGGTCCAACAGCACCCTCCCGTGACACGCTGACATCTCTGAGCACAACTTGGAGGAAGTAAGAATCCCATCATGAAGGAGGGAAACGGGCCTTCCCATGAAGCAGCAGCTAAAGCAAAGGTTTTAAGCTCGCGGTGTTCAGATAGGTTCCAGAAACGTCAAGGAGACCTGGATAACTGCAGCAGACCCACAAAACAAAGCAGTATGGAGCCAGACTGGGAAGCCTTGTGACGTCCTGCACTGACGATTACTCTGTGGGAAACAGCGCTACTGAGACATTTTAAGTTGGGTAATCTGAATAAGTAGGCCAATTATCTATAAACTGTCTCTTTACTCTCCTTCCTCCTTCAGCAGTTGCCCTGACAGAACTGCAAGCAAGGATGCCTCCTCGTTCTGCTGGCTGGTGTTCCTTTGCTTTTCTGACTGCTGCTGCAAAGTGCATTTGTGTGGTGCCCTGCCCCAGTCCCATGCCCAGCCCCTCAGCAATCAGCAGCTTTAGCGGGAGCCACCTCCCAGCAAGGGCCCCGCCAGTCCCAGTCTCACTCCACAGCTCACAGCATCCCACTCTGACTCCACAGCTCACAGCACTGACCACGCACCCACGCAGGAAAGCTAACCTACACCTGGTGCCGCTGCTTCCCACTCTCCGTCAGCTGTACATCACTCTGGCCCCAGTGTCTCACCGTTAGCAAACCTGAGCTCCAACTGTCGCTCAACAAACAAAGCGCGAACCCTAGTCCTGAGCAGAGAGCCTCCTTCCTGAGGCTACCAACCCTAGCATGTGTCTCACTATTCTTTTTACATCGTCACTTACTGAAATACCACACACACTAAAACGGTCCTACTAAATTCACCCTTTAAAAAGACGCATGTGATATGTACAGGACACATGCTTCTGCGCCGTGTGGGGGCAGGTCGACATCAAGGGACCTCTTCCGTTACTCTCACTGACTTTTGAAGACAGGGTCTCACCGTATCTGAAGCTTGGCATCATGGCTAGCCTGGCTGGTGTGCAAACCCCAGAGAGCGCCAGGATGTGCATCCCCGGTGTGGATCCCTCCTGACTTTATTCTCATACCTGGATGAAAGGCATTCAACCAAAGCTTGCAATCCAGCACTACACCAACTACCCATCCCCTCTGCAATCCCTCCTTTGAAAACTGTGCTTTGCTTCCTGAATGGGCCCAAACTGTTACAGTGGCCCTGGAAATAACAGGGGAAAGACCCTCAAAAAGGTGCTGTGAGGTTTTTGCCCAAGCCTTGGCCCTGAGTGGAATGCACAGCTACCTGCCGGGGAAGTGAAATGCTAGTCATCAACGCAAGCATTAGAACTGGTTCAGTTACCACTTACTCACGGCTGACAGTCAGAATGCACTAAGACGTCTGAGAAGGAAGGCCAACTACCTCCTACAGGTGACCATAATGGCAGGCGTGATGAAAACAGGCGTGATAAGGGATGGCTCTTCTCAGTGCACTTACTCTGACAAGCACTAATTCTCAGTCAACCTGGGGGTTTCCATAGCAACCCCAAAATAATCACCCACCCCTGCCTCAGTAGTCACAAAGATGGTCTAGCTAAAATCAGCTGTGAAACAACTGCAAAATTAAAATTATAATTGAATCCAAAGTCCCATCAAGTCTCATCAAGATTCTCCTGTGAACAGATTAATAAACTACTGAGCCCTAGTCTTTGCAGTGGGAACATATGTTTGCATGCAGCTAAAACTGACTCTTGTCAACGTCTTACTTGGAGCAGCTTCCCTTCTTTGTCTAAGGAAGCTCTGTTTGCACTGTTTAAAAACTATAAAGCATTTTTTCCTTCTCTTCTAGTTATCTAGAGCACAGCGTATTTGTATAAACAGAACTGGAATAGTCATCTTTGTTCTCCCTATTTGACCTTCAAAAATGCCAAACGTACACTAAGTCTTCTGATTTTAGGCAATATAGCTACTTCTATAGGTTCAATAATAATATGTCTTATAGAAGCATCATTTGCAAGTGTTGAACATATTCACTAACAACCTGACTACAAATCTAATGAAAATGAGGCATACAGCTATAGCATATAAAATGGCAAACAAAAGAAACTAAGGCAGACTTTATGTACTGATACATAAAGGGTGTGAGCTCCAGAGGCGGCATATGGTAAGTGGGTTGGTACCTTATATACACTTGCCTAACATGGTTGCTTACACATATATGAAATATGAATAAGGAGTTTCTCATCCTGGACCCGAGGAACCTTAGCTTAGTGGACTTTGAAAAACATTCAAACACACTCTGAATTGTCCCATGGACAGACTCCAAGTACTGAGTGCTCAAAACCCTGATAAATAAAACAGGAAGGACCACAGCCAAGCAATCACCTTTTCAAAAATCACTACTATCACTACTCAGCCTGGTAATGAGTGCTTCAAAACACAAAGAAGTTCATAAAATCAGTTTTGGGAGTTTTTTGTTTGTTTGGTTTTTTGGTTTTTGGAGACAGGGTTTCTCTGTGTAGCTTGGCAATCCTGGAACTCACTCTGTAGACCAGGCTGGCCTAAAACTCAGAGATCCACCTGCCTCTGCCTCCGGAGAGCCACTACCACCTGGCTCATGGAGCCAATTCTTAAACAGCCTAGCACTGAGAAAGAAAACAAAACAAAATCAGTAGCACCAATATGTTTTTAAATTGTTTAAAATTAATATACTTTGATGGGAGATGTCCTCCTGTGTGTGTTTCTCTTACTGGTTGGTTGGCCAGTAGCCAGGAAGGAAGACAGGCGGGACTACCAGGCCAGGAGAAGGCTGGGGAGAGGAGAGAGAGGCCACCAAAGAGGCGCCATACTGCTGAAGGAGTAACATGCAGGATTACCGGCAGGCCACAGGCTTATGGCAACACACACTTTTAACAGAAAGGGTTAGTAATCAAAAGACAGCTAGCCAGTAAGAAGCCAGCCATCCACCAAACAGTTTTATACTTCACAAAAGTCTTTGTATGTTAATTTGGGGCTAAATGGCTGCGGGGACCAGGTGAGACAGAAACCTCCTCCTTCAATAATTAATAATTCTATCTACAGATTCAAAGGGTTGCAACATCTATTTAAACTCAGCTCAGCAGCAAGGAATAAACAAGGTAATTTCCTAAGTGCCAATCTGATGCTGGGTGACAAAATGCCTGAGGAAAGAAATAATGAATACAGATAGTCAAATAAGGCCTCCGTGTTTGGGAGTCAAGGAAAGGCAACGAGGACTGGAGGGTAATGCGAGCCACACATGTCAAAGTCACATGCACCCCACAAAACCAGTACAACGGGCTGGTGCACCAAGCTCAGCTTCAAGGAAACTGGATGAGGTTATGGACAGGAAGGAAGGAGGGGAGGGAGAGGACATGAACAAGGCAGATCAAACTGCAAACTACAGGATGACTTTAGACTTATGTCAGTAATAGGGGAAGCCCCTAGAATGGGCTTTAACAAGAAACTGGAGGTCTAATTTATTTTCAAAAGGTTACTTTGGTGAATTGTGGGGGACAGGATGGAGACAGACATGAATTAGAAAGAACTGTGATGATATGAACTAAGAACAGTGTGTTGGATACATTATGTGTACTGATTTCATTTATGCTTTCAAAAAATAATCCTAGCAAAAGCATATTAATATATTATGTTTAGCAAAGTAAACTAAGGAATATGTTTTGTTTAAAATTATTACTAGTTGTAAACCTCTGGTAAGATGGCCCACTGAAGTAAAGGGCACTTGCCACAAACTGTGTTTACCCGAGTTTGATGCCTGCAAAGAGGAAACTGACCCCCCCCAAGTTGTCCTCTGACCACAGGAGGGGTACCACAGCACATGCACAACCATTCTTTAAAATATACCAATAAAAATAAATGTTTTTAATTGTTTAAAAGCCATGAATATTGTTGAACTATAGTTTTAAGGTATAATTATCAGGCAATACAATGCATGTGGGTGACACTTTTCTGAAATTGTAAAAGTTGAGTGTTGTAGCAATGGGAGTTGGTAGCTTTAATCCCAGCACTGGGGAGGCAGAGACAGGAGGATCTCTGTGAGTTCCAGGCCAGCCTGGTCTACAGAGCGAGTTCCAGGACAGGCTCCAAGGCTACACAGAAAAACCAGAAGAAGGATGAAGGAAGAAGGATGAAGGATGGAGGAAGAAGGAAGAAGGATGGAGGAAGAAGGAAGAAGGATG